AAGGAAAACTTCGTAGATCAATCCATATCCTCGTTGTCAAATATAACACTTATTGCTCTTCCTTACAAGCTATCATGCTCTAGTATAGACCTCCACCTCAATTTTCCTTTTCAAGTGGCTACTTTTTCACTCATGATATTTTTTTCATTTTTTATATAATAATGCCTCATATATTGTGTTAGGATATAATTATTATTTAAATATGTGAGGATATTTTTATGTATTATTGAACACTTTTCAAATTACACAAATTGTGAGATAGGATGGAGATGGTATTTAGTACATTTTCTTGTACCTTTATGAAGTGCAATTATCACTATCACAAGACTATATAAGTTTTTCGAAACTTACTTTAGTTCTAGGATAAAGGTCGGATTCTTGGACCGACTTGGCTCAGTATTTGACATCTTTCTCCTTGTATACACTTAAGAAAATTTAGGGTCTAGTATGATTTCTTGAGAGTATGGACCTTGAAGATTTTCTTGTGGTAGTGAGTTTTCTGGTGGATTTTGAGCATTCTCTCGTGGTAATGGTTTTGAGGTATGTGAAAAAGGTAATAAATTAAAATTCATTAAGAATTTTGTATCCTTATCTTTTAATATGGACTCCCTATGAAGATAAGGTTATATCTAGTGTGTGTATGAAAATGTTTAGAAGTATTAGTTATGTGTTTTGTGGCTCCTGAGTCTACATCCCAAGAATTTTCAAAGGGTTTATTTGAAAAATTCAGTCCATGTGAGGTAGAAGTTGTATTTGAATATCCCACTAGGTGTATCAATAAATCGATATCTGTTTGTTTTTCCAGGGATCTAAGTTGGATTTTTAATTTTTCAATCTTCACTTTGAATTCACTAATATTTGAAGTTGCAATGTTGGGTTGGGATGTTATCTCCAACATCGTTTACAAATTGCATGCTAGTTAATGTCGAAATAGAAAATTATTAGAAGAATTTTACTTGGAACTCGTGGCTGCATGGGGAGGGAATTTGCAGCTTGCAACTGATCCAGCTCTGTTGAGTCGCAAAGTCAACTTGCTGAATCAACTTGGATAACGAACTCACTAACTCAGCTTTACTACGATTATTAAGAATGGTTTGATGTGTTTTATATTAAATGTTACAACCCATATATACAGTTGTTCTAGGATGGAGAGGAAATGTACAAATTTTTTTCTTCAAAGACGGGAAAAAATATACAATTAATTACAACAAATTATGAAGGGCATAATTTACTTTTATATTCTTTAACCTAATTTACCATCTCTTTAACAACAATTATAAAGAGTAGAGGAGATAAAGAGTCTCTTTGTTTGATACCTATAAAGGTCTTCAAGAAAGAGGATGGATCGTATGCTGTTTGTATGTCAAGCTTATACATCAAATTAGCCACTATCTCATAAGCAATTACAACCATACCATAGTCTCCCTCACTCATAAAGGCATGCTGACACTCACCAATCACCCTCCACACCAACTTGGACATTCTTCTTGCAAGAACTTTTGCAAAGTCTGTAGACAACTACCTACGAGTCTAATTGGCTTGAAATATTGGATGCTTGTAATCCCTTCAAGCTTTGGAGTGGGTACTAGAAAAGTAGAATTTAAGTGCTTGACAAAGGATCTTGATTCATGAAATTCTCTAAAAAGGTCACTTATATTTGCTCTAACCACACCCCAAATTTTCTGAAGGAAACCCATGTTAATATCATCTGACCTTAGAGCTTTGTCATCCTACATTGCATGAGACCTTCCAAAATTTTCTCCTCTGGGAATTCTTGTTCCAAAAAGACAAGGTCTCTCTCCTCCAAACTATTTAAGTCAAGACCATCGAGCATGGACCTCCAATTGGAATTCTTAGTGAACAGATTCTGAACGTGAGATTTCATCAATCTGTGAAATCCTCATTACCTTTTACTACTTCGCCATTAATTTCCAGCTCCTTCATATAATTTATTCTTCTATGATCGCTAGCTATGATATGGAAGAACTTAGTGTTTCTATTTCCCTCTTTAGTCCATTTAGCTCTCGATTTTGGTCTCCAAAAAATCTCCTCAATTGGATCCGATTTGCCAAATCCAGGCCCACAATCTTCCTTCTCTCACTGTTCCTTGGGGTTACCTCACTCTCTCAATTTGGATCCAATGTTTATGCCTCTTTATTTCTATGAACTGAAATGATCTTTTTGTTGTTTGGGTAATGAGAAAATGTAAGAAGGGAAATGGAGTGAACTATCTGATGTTATAGGTAACACTACTTTAATCATTCCAATTCATGGAAAAAGAAGCATAAAAATGAAGTTAAAAATTAAAATGCTAAATACAACAATATCTCTTCCAATAAAAGAATGCTTAAAATGCAATGAATACTTTTCTCTCGAAAAAAAAGTTCAGTCCACCAGCGCACTCAATTGAGATCATAATGTCTCACCTCAACATCAAAGTGGAGCTTTATGTATATTTTTCTTTTGAAATAAAAAATATAAAAATATATTAAAAGGCACCAAGGGGATGCCAACCCATATATAGATTATTTACATATTTACAGAACCTTATGTATATAATGTTTGTGTTCATAACTAATATTACTGTTTCTCAATCTTCAGGATTTGATATTTTTCTGGAAGTCTTCTATCTTTCTAGATTAGATTTTTCTATTATTACCTTTTTTACAAGGATTGTTTTCATTAGATAGGGTCTGGAGACCTAAGAACTTAAACCAAACTTGTTTTATGTGATTTGAGTTCTCTGAATTTATTTATTGACTAGTCTGGAATTGTTCTAATTTCTATGTTTTTTCAACTGTTCTATTGGCAGTTTGAGTTCAGGAAGCTATCGTCTAATATTATTATTGGTTTGTTTTCTGATCAGTAACTTTATTGGGGACATAGAAAAAATGACAAATAATAGCACTGCCCTTGCATTTAGTGGTGGATAGAGGACCTCGGAGGAATGTCAGACTTGTGCATGTATGAGGTAGGCTGCTATTTATAATTTGTGTGAACCTTTTAAGTTGAGATTCATCTTTTTTCTCTTAATTCCAACCGTCATTTTTTTTTCTGAGAACAAAGATAATTCTATTGAGCAGATTATTTTTTCTTCCAAAGATGATGATTTGCATGATAATCTATCCCTACATATTTGTGTGGATTACTAACATATAACTTGTTGAAATGAGTAACCTGGTGCTGTAGTCCTTGTTTTCTTTTCCGGGAGGGAAGGGGGAGATTGTAAAATGCACCACCTTTATTGTCTTAACTAGTTAGGAGAAAGGCGCTTTTTAGTCTTGATTTCATTCTTCAGTCATACCTATACGTATAGGTAGTTGAGAATTTTTACTATTGCAATGGGGGCTAATTGGTCTTCTTGACTAGCAAGTTTAGGTCTTCCATTTAACTGTAGAATGTGGGATGTGATAGAATCTGCAATTTTAATATCAAAACAGTTTACTTTCCATAGGAATAAGTCATTGCTTATTGACAACCTCCTTGTATGAAAATCATCAAAATTATACTGGCATCTTATAGTTCACTTCTATTTTGAAATTATGTAAGATTTTGAAAGATTAAGAAATTAGGATTTGGCAATTAGGAATTCATGTTTGTTTTTATGGAATCTGTTGACAAAATTACAAGTTCATTTATAGTGCATACACATGTTATGCCTCGATTGCTACTAAGGTAAGAATTGGTAATTATTATTCTTCTGTTGAATTGTGTTGAGTGGATTCAGATTCAAGGTTCAGAAGAATGTTATTTTTTTTATTACAATTTGAGTAGATATAAATGTGTCATATGAATTATCAGAGACCTTGGTTTGTGATTATTTATTCTATTATTATTAATTAATTTGATTTAGGGAAACTAATGACTCGGCACATTTTTTCCTTCTCTTATCATTTTCAATCTGACTTTTCTACATGCATTTTAAAATTAGTTGTAAAACTCGTTATTATTAGGTGATTACCGATTGTTAATCTCCACTCTCGATGAGGAAATTGACTGTGTTGATAGTCACTCCAGACATTTGGTCTTCCAATTTTTTCAAGATCTCGAAATTAAATAGCAACTGGAGGGCATGTTTGTGATAACTTCTGCTATCTTCTCTCTGAATTTTCAATTATGTTGCTAGTGTTTCCCTAATATCTTCTGTGAATTAGCATATTTTCTTCATTTTTCTGAAGGTGTTAGCTCTTATCTTTTTGTTTTTTATACTATATTGGAGACACTTACATTAGTCCACCTTGTGTGCTCCCTTGTCTTTGGCCTCGCATGTAGCTGTTTTCTTTTTCAACGTGTTAATAGGATAAATTGAACCGTTTTGGGTGGAGAATATGCTGTAAACATTTGAACCATGAATATAAGCCATAAAAAATTTGATTGAACCCAGATATCTATTCAGCTTCCTGGAAGATGTTTTTGAATTAATGATCATCCAGCTTAAAGTGTTTAACATTCTCTTTTCCTAATCGTTCTCTAAAACTTGTTCTCCTTATATTGAGAAAAGTACTACATGGAATCTTCTACTCTGAACAGGAGGCTAAATCAGCATGTTTTCTTCCTTGAACTGGAATGTTTATACAGTTCTAGGTGGATTAAAACGGAGGGTTAGCTTCTGTGTTCTACTTCTGAATTTAGTTGCTTTTCGATACTGTTTCTTGTCAATTGTTAGTCATCCTCTAAGAATCATCTGTATTTCTTTCCCTCATTCTCTGTACCGGTTGATTTACTATATTTTGTATTTGCCTTTTATCTCCATAGTTCATACTGTATTCCAGTCGATGCATTGCTTATGGCTAGTTTATCTTTGTCTAGGCCTGGCATTCAAGTTCTCGCTCGCGAAGAAGCTCCTAAGAAGGGTAAAGAGAAGGAACATATTTTCATTTTCAAAGAAATTATGTTATATTTTCTGTGACATTTGGTTCCATAAAAGGTTGAAGAGTATGGGGTATTATATCTCATTAAGAGTTGAATTAACAAAAGCTCCATGGTCTTATTGCTTCTGAGGTCTTTTGTCCTCCGAGTTTTCTAGTTGACCTGTTGCTAAAATCTTCTAATTAGAGGTTATAGAATCTGATCTACTCCTATAGATCATTGATTTGCCTTGTTGAGTCATTTTCAATTAAATGAGATGGCTTTTTGCTATTTTTCAAGTTTACTAGGTTACATTACTTTTTTTTTTACGTTCCTTTTCATATGTAAGACATAGTTTCTTAATACTCAAAAGACTTCGTTTATGAATATTTGCAAGTTTGATGATGCTAAACATCTATGATGTTGTGTTTTTTCTTCTGTGAGTACGTTAATGCTAAAAACTCATGCCTTCCTTATCTTAATATCTTTAAATCAAAACTCTAGTTTGTCATGGTGAAAAAATCTGCTGGGATGAGTCAAGCCGAGTCAGTCTGTTAGTCAATCCAAGTAGATTATTGTAGAATATGGAATTTTTGGATTTCTTGAAGTATTAAATTTTGACTTTGATTCTTGATTCTTATCCATTGGTTACAACTTAATGGCTGCCCTTGACTGTATTGCCTCTTCAACTTTACCTAAAAACTCATAACATATGCGCTACGGTGGAGTTACAAATGGCTTAAGTGCTTAAACACTTGGAAAAACAAAAACAATATGAAGAAAACACCCAACCTTCCACAAGGTAGCCTAATAATCCTCGAAGTTTGTTTAGTCTGCACATGGTACTCTTCTTATTCATGGACCTAGAAATAATGTTTTTCCTCTGAATTAGCGATGTGTAATTTTCTTAGTCATCCTAACAAGATCCTGCAAGGTGGGATCTTCTTTTATGATAATCAATTTGAGTACGATCAGTATGAAGCTCCAAATAGGGAAGTTATTTATGGTAGAATCCCACCCAAAATTCTTGGGCATTCGCCACTACCTACTAGGCATGATGACCACATAAAAGTTACTAAAAATGAGTGATGTTAAGTGTTCCTTCCTATGATTGTAACTTGTATCCTAGTATTTTCTTGGATTAGTTAAATAGCTTAGAAGGTTATTTTGAGCGGTATTATGCATCTGACATAGGGTGTAGGTTTACGAAAATGAAGTTGGTAGGATAAGCTAGGAAGTCAGCAATTGATCCCAGTGAAACTTAGAATGTCTAGGAGATTTAACTATCATACGATGGGAGGTTATGAAATAAAAGGTGAAAGAAAAACACCTTCCTACCTAATATTGCAGTTGCTTGTTTGAAAAATTACTGCATTTGCAATAATTGAATAATTGCATAACTGATTGCATATCTCGATCTGGGAAACTCTGTCTTAGATGTGAACTTGAGAAGACTCTTTTGTCACTCTTTATAGGTTTATCTGGGTAGAAATTAAAAGAGAAGTTTCCTTGTACTCTTCTGAGTTGTTAGAAGAATCCAACTAAAAGGCACTGGAAAGAAATATTTTGAATTTCGTAATAAGCGTTGAATGTCATCTTTCATAGGGGAGTCAACTCAATCAAAGTATGTTTCTCAGTCCATTTTACAGCTAAGAATCCTATCTCTCAAGCACCTAACTCTAGCACTTCCTAATGGATCTTTTGGTTTCAATTTAGTGTCATCTTTGTCATGAGAAGGTTCACATTTGCTTCCATGTGTACTTGATGTGCTTTGGTTGTTGAGCATGAATCTTATGACTCACTATCTCTTGAAATACAAATTATTGATCTGATTGAGCACTCAGGTGATGAAGATGTATTTGATAATGAAAAAATTATTACTTCTATTTGCACATTGTTTCTCCAAGTTGTCCTCTTAATGATCCTAAGGAGTTTTAAGAGGTTTAGGCTGCTACACCTTGTGATCGCATCTCTTCGACTAGAATAACCTGAAAACCTCTCACATGGATAACAACTCAATGAGCCTTTTTAGATTGGTGACTTTTGTGATGCATAATCAAACTCTTTGCACTCACTAGGGTGATTAATAGTCCAGAACTGGACTGGACCAGTCCAGACCAGACCAAGATAAAAACAGAAAATGAGAAAATATTCAGATAAAAGATCAGACTAATATCACTTCTGTCTAAATTGGATTGGGCTGGAAATTTTTAGTTTGGTCTGGTTCATTACTATGTGGACCAAATTGCTCCAAACATTTGAATTCTCTTAGCTATATTTTAATTAAGAACTAATAAAAAATTAACAAAAGTTATATAACACACAATATACACACATACACATGATATATGCATATACATACTCCACAATCCATTCAATAAATATGTACACAAATATATTCATATATATCTTTCTCTTTTTTCTCTCTTCTGCAATTCTCTCTTCTTCGATGTGAATATAAAAAATTATCTGAAATATCTTCATAAATCCGATCAACCCTTTACAAGAGAGAGAAAGCTCTCATGATCAACCATGGTTTTCTTTTGTTCCAATCTTTCTAGATCCACACAAAATCCACAAAATTGGCCAGTCGGGGCATATTTTTCATTTAAATTTATAATAATAATCTCTTTCTTTTTTTGTTTCTCCCCATTGATATTTATCCCTACCAAGCTAGTGTTGTCTTCAACATGGTTACATATATATTCTCCACCACATCACACTCAATATATATGCACACACGCACATTTACATAAATACATATATATATGTATATATATATGTACACACCACTGTAGTTGCACGCAGTAGAGCCAAGAGTGCCGAAGGCATAATAGAGAGGAGGAAGTGATGGAGGCAGTAGAGAATAGGAGAGGCAGTTGCTGGTGGTGAGTCGATAGAGATGAGAAGAAGAGGAAGATGAATCAACCAACAGAGAGGCAGCGAGTCGACGGTAGAAGATGAGGAAGTACAAGATGAGAAGACGCAGCGGCCAGCTGGGTGATTTAAATAAGAAGTTATGAAGATGATAAGTTACATTACATTAGGATTGGTAACCATCTTTTTTGGTTTGTGTGTGTATATAAACATATGTTATTTCTTATCTTGGGAATGGCTAGGTCTTGGTATCAAGGAATCTTAAATAATCGTGAAATAAGTGAATATGAGAAGTTGTTAAGCATCCTTTCATTATTGTCTTGGACGGTAACAATGATAGCCCTCAGTGGAGCCTTACCAAGAATGATTCCTTCATGGTAATGTTTTTTTACAAGCGATTGTTCAAGTGTAATGGCAATTGCTGCAAGGATCTCGTACAGGTATGGAAGGTAATGTCCCACCGTAGGTTTCATTCTTTGCATGGGAGGGTAGTAGAGAATGCATTTTAATCATAGATAAGCTAACACGGAGGGGTAAGGTTTTGGTGAATGTGTGTTACTTTTATATGAGGGCAGAGGAGAGTTGCAATCACATTTTGCTATGATGTCCTATGGTGCACAAACTTTGGACCAGGGTTTATAGGTTGGTAGGTATCTGTTGGGTGATGGCAGGTTCGGTGAGGGAAGTGCTTTGAACATGGAAGAGCATAAGGAGTAGGAGCAAATACCCTAATATGATTCCACTTACCATTTTATGGATTGTGTGGAAGGAAAGAAAGAAGTGGGCCTTTGATGGGTGGATGATGTGAATGGATTTGATGTTATCAAGAATAGATGGTTTCACACCCTTGGTTTTTTGTTAGTCGGTTATTCTCCATAGTCGATGGAGGATTTGGAGAACCTTTTTGACAAGTTAACAGATTTGTAAATACTTTTGTATATGGGATGATACCTCTTGGTACCCATAACAATATATTTTCTATATTTTTTATTTCAAATTTTTTTTTTTCTATCTTTTTAACTAGTCCAGGCCGGTCCATATTTGGATTATACCAGAATGGATGAGTCTTCTTGATCTTAATTCTCCTAGTCTAAGGATTTCTAGTTTGGTCCAGTCAAGACTTAACTAGCTAGTCCATTTTGGACCGGCTAATCTGGACAGAGTAATGCTCAGTGTTAGCACTCTCACCTCTTTGGCTCATCGCCTATCCTTCAAAAATATGAACCTAATACCTATTGGCTTGATTTATGTGACCGTGTGGTATTCATCATGTTTCTGGATTTTTGGAATACATCACCTTATTGAGGTTTTCTAGAGCTTCTCGTTGTTTTCTCATATTTGTATAGGCCGTGCAAAATTCCAGCATATGTTGCCGCCAACAACTAGGATTGCAACCATACGGGACATGAATGTTATTCCATGAGCATCTTGTTAAATAGAGAGGTTATCCAAATATGCTGCTATTTAGATTGAGGAAGATTTGTTGCGCACTCTGAATCCAAACTCTTAGCCGGCTATTTGCGTACTAACTAGTCAAAGTCAGTTTTTAAAGTGGAGGAGAATGATGTAGACTCCTTTAAACCTATATAAGAAGGCTTATATTGTGGTCCTTATTCTGGATTTTTTTTAATAGTATGTGTTTGTTAGGAGAGAACTTGACGATTTCTTAGAGCTTATAATTGCTCTAAAAACATTTTGAAACTTTTTCTGCATATAAATTTTGGGACAGCTAGTGGTTTCTATGTAAGAGGGAGGAGCAGCAGTTGTTTGGTGGTTATTTTAGAGCAGTCACTGCTGCACGTTTTCCTTGTTTCTCCCCTACTATTCTACCATACTATTACACCAATACCCGCTTAAATATCCTTCTTAGTACACATAAAATCCAGCACATGAGGAGCAGTTAATCTGCAATATTATTCTGGAATTTTATCCTAATTTCCAGATTTGAATAACTACTACCTTCCTCTTCTTTCATCCTCTGTGTTATCCTTCAACTGAATCATACACATACTTAATATAAAGTGCAGAATTATCATACACAACACAATATCTTTATATTACTAGGCTTAATATAATATCGAGATATATAAGTAAATTTCTCTTCCTCTTTTGAGCATCTTCTTCTGTACAGACCTTAACAGCTGATTATAGTACCTTTTAAGAGAGTCATTTTTATTTTCCTAATTAGGAAATATAATTTATAGTCAATTTTAGCCATTAACTTGTTTAAGAAACTTTAGATTTCTTTTCCTATTAGATAGTTAAGGTTAGCATCTATGTAAAGGTTTCTAATTAACAATTTATGTCGAGTTTGGAATTGATAATTTTTTAATGAATTTATTTCATGTTTCTATCTATTACTTTACTGTCTCTGTTGTTCTTAATGTTTGTCGTCTTCTTTATTAAAAGAGACTAGCAGGAAAAAACTTTATATTTATACTATATTAATTTGAATAATTTTCACACTTGAAAAAAGAATAATGCACAGTGACATTATATAGCCAAGTAAGAGAAATGTACAAGCCCTAATTAATGAGATTTTGCCATCCTAATTTAATCATTCTAAATATAAAAGATTTACAAGATAGTACAAAATATTCCTACATTCTAAAATTATAGCCAATCATCTTAAATGTAGAATAAATAATTAATCATGAAATTATAGCCAATTATCTTCAATATAGAATAAATAATTGACTTTCTTTCACTCCCCCTCAAGCTTAGCTGTAGATGTTGTGGGTCCAAGTTTGTCAACTAACCTCTCAAAATCGAGGCTTTAGAGACTCTTAATGAAAATATCAGCTGTTTGACTCAAAATTGGAACATAGATGATAGACACCATCCCATCTTCTATCTTTTTTTTAATGAAATGACGGTTTATTCTAACGTGTTTGGTTCTATCATGATAAATTGGGTTGTGAATGATACTGATAGCAGTTTATGTACAGTATAGATTTAGTGGTTCACTTGTTAGTTTCTTTAATTTTCCTAGTAAATTTCTCCGCCATATCATCTCACACACACTGTGAGACAAGGATCTCAACTCAGCTTTTGCACTGTTTCTTGCGACCACAGTTTGTTTCTTGTTTTTCCAAGTGGCTAAGTTTTCCCAAACAAATGAACAATACCCTTATGTTGATCTCCTATCTATGACTAATCCTACCCAATTTGCATCTGTAAATGTTTCAATGGTCCGATTTGAGGTTTTCTTAAAGAATAAACCTTTTATCGGATATCCTTGTAGATATCTTAAAACTCGTATAATTTCAGTCATGTGCTCCTCTGTGGGTGCATGTATAAACTGGCTGACATAACTTAGAGTAAAACTAATGTCAGGTCTAGTATGTGAAAGGTAGATTAGTTTTCCAACTAATCTTTGAAACCTTTGTTTGTTAACCGATTTGTTTGTTTTTAAATTACCAAATTTCACATTGGGATAAGAGTGTTTGTAGGTTTGCAACCCAACATACCAGTTTCTTTTAATAAATCAAGGACATACTTTTTTTGAGATACTAAAATTCACTCTCGAGCTATCTCCATACCAAAAAAATATTAAAGTTCACCCAAATCTTTTATTTTGAAGTCTAAAGTAAGACCTTTCTTGATTCGGGTAATTTCCTCAATATCATCTCATGTTATAATAGTATCGTCAACGTAAACTATTAAAATAGTTATTTTACCCTCCTTGTGCTTGAAAAACAGTGTGTGATCCGTCTGTGGCTGTATATAATCTTGTCCTTTTATTACTTTCATGAATCTGTCAAACCAAGCACATAGAGACTGTTTAAAGCCATACAAACGTTTTTGCAATTTGACTATCTTGCCATGGCTGCTATTATTAAATCCTAGTAGTAGGTCTTTAAAGACATTCTCTTCAAATTCTTCGTTTAAAAAAATATTCTTTACATGTAATTGTTGTAAGGGCCAATCTAAGTTAGCAACAAGAGATAGAAGTACACGTACCGTTTTGATTTTTGTAACAGAAGCAAAATTCTCTTGATAATCAACACAATAAGTTTGCGTATAACTTTTTGCGACTAGTTTGACTTTACATTTTTCAATAGTACAATTGGCCTTGTATTTCACTGTGAACACCTACTTACATCCAATAACAACTTTGTCTTTTGGCTTTTCCACCACATCCGAAGTCCAGTACTTTTCTAATGCACTTATTTATTCTAAAATTGCAGCTTTCCATACTGGTTTTTGCAAGACTTCATCCACTGTTTTTGGAATCTTTACCTATATCAAATTTGTAACAGACATCTTGTAGTGTCCAGAGAGCTTATCATACCCAATAAAATTTGAGATAATAAGTAATGAATGGAAGACCTGGTTTTCTTTCTCACATCCATAAGAACTTCTAGATCATGATTCTCAAGATCTGAATCTAAATTTGAGGATTGAGATTGCAGGGGCTCAATGTCCTTTGCTTTCTTTCGATTTTTTCTTCTTGAATAAGTTAGCAGATCTTTGACTTTATGATCGATAATAGGGATAGACTGTAAAGTTTTTCCTGATGGTAAATTTGTGTTTATGGTTTCGGTTTTGATTAAGAAGATTATTTCTTTATTTTTCATCACAGATTCTAATGTGGACTGATTAGGACTTTCTGCAACTTTTGGAGTTTGTGAGAGAGGATCCCGGTTCAACTCCCACGAGTTTGAGGTAAGGTTTGGTGTGATGGGATTTGATTTTTGGATTGTTTTCCAATCTGGAATTTTCTCATTTAAATTTATATGTGGAGATTTGGACTTTAAATCTGGAAAAATAATCTCACCATTGCCTATTTTAATTTGTTTCTAGAAATTTGGATCACTCCCACTCTTAACTCGAGACAAATTTCGAGTATAAAAAGTCTGATTCTCGAAAAAGGTAACATTAGTAGATGTATGATATTTTCTTTTTTTGGAGACAATAACAACGATAATCTTTTTGAATTATAGAATATATAAGAAAAACATATTTTAGAGAATGAGGGTCTAATTTCGACCTCCCTTGACCGGGCACATGAACAAAAGCAACGCTTCCAAAAATCTGAAACTCTAGTTGAGAAAAAACATGGTAATTAGAAAAGGAGGTCAAAAAATATTCAAGAGCGTTCTATAGTTTAGTATTTTTAATGGAAGTTGATTAATCAAGTAGCATGCAGTCAAGATTGCACCCTCCAGAAATGTTTTGGAATGGTTGTTGAAAACATGAGGGCACGTGCAACATCAAGAAGGTGACAATTTTTTTTCTCAGCCACACTGTTTTGTTTTTGAATATTGATACATGAATTTTGGTGTAAAATACAATTGATTCGGAAAAAAATCACCAAGTATAGAATTGAAATATTCTGTACTATTATCGGTACGAGTAATTCGGATTTTTGTATTAAATTGTGTTTGAACTGTCTGGTAGAAATTCTTAAAAACCAATGAGACATCCGATATATCTTTGAAAAGATAAACCCAAAATATTCGAGTATGATCATTAATAAATGTGATGAATCACCTTTAAGAGAAAAGTGTAGGAACATTTGAAGGACCCCAAATTGTGTATGAGGGTAAAATGTGTAGATGGTGATAATTTTGAGTGGGTAAAAATGTGCGAGTGTGTTTTGCCAATTGACATATATCACATTGAAACATTAGACTTTTATTTGAAAATAAATGAGGAAACAAATGCTTCATATAGGTAAAACTTGGATGACCCAATCGAAAATGTAATAACATTACTTATTTTTCAACAGAAATGATAGACAGACACATAAAAGAGCCAACATTATTCATTAGTGAAGAAGAAACCAACAGATAGCAAAGGCCATTTGAGATTTTAGCACTGCCAGTCCTCCTCCCTGTCTTCAAATCCTGAAAAACACAATTATTTTTTGATAAATTAAACCACATGGCTGGTCGATAGTTAGTTTACAAACAGAAACTAAATTATAGGTTAATTTTGGAACATGAAGAAATATCCTGCAAAAAATTGTAGGTGATAGGCAAATAGTTCCTTTGCCGGCCACTGTAGAAAAAGTTCCATTCGCCAATTGAATCTTTTGTTATCCTGAACTAGGTGAATAGAACAGAAAAAAATAAGAATTACCGGTCATGTGATCGGTAGCCCGAAATCAACAATCCATTGCTCACGTGAATTTAGCATACTTCTAACAGGGGATTCCGAAATACCTTGACTTGCCATGAGAGGAGTGCTTGTTGCATAATTACTTGTGATAGAGGTAGAAAAATTATAAAGAAGGCTACACAAGTGTTCAACTTGTGCTTTTGTAAAATTAACAACTCCTAGTTTGTTAGTCGGTGGTGTGACCCCTTTTTTTTTAACCGATTTAGTACAAAATTCTCAGACTTTCCGTGAATCAACCAATAGGTCTTCTTTGTGTGATGTGCTTTGTGGTAGTAATCACACTAGACATGTTTTTTTACAGAATTTTGTGATCGATTGGAAGGACGGTTCATAGCAAGAGCAGAGACATCCACTTGGACAGCCACGATGTCACCGAGCGTAACTCGACAACGATGATCTCCACAGCAAATTTTTGCAAAGATTTCATATGGACGGTAAAGGTCAAACACCTAGGAGACGATCACGTACATCATCCAACTCTTTATTTAAATTAACTAAAAAATCGTATATGCAATCTATTTGGATTAGTTTATTGAAAAGGGGAGCATCGGTAGAATCTTTCTAGGTGGTTGAATGAAACATGTCAATCTTTTGCCACAATTTTCGCAAGCTGCTATAATATTGAGTTACATCCATATCACCTTGATGGAGGTAGCATACGCGATTTCTTAATTCAAACAATTGTGATGAATTTTCCAAATCAAAATAGGCAAGAGTGACGACATCCTAGATTTCTTTTGCTGTAGAATGAAAAAGATAAGTTTCACCTATCTCATCCTCTATAGAATGAATTAACCACATTATGACTAAAGATTTGTTGAGCGTTCCATAATGCTTACGAGGGATCAACAACATTCGGACGAGGAGAGAAATCGTATATGAAGGCTAATTTGTCTTTTCTCCTAATCACCAAAGCTGCCGAATGAGACCATTGCAAGAAATTCTTCCCGTTAAATTTTTGAGTTATAGTCTGTAAGTTATGATAAGTATTTTCTGCAGTAATAGCAGGAACAATTGTAGAAACATATTAGAAGCTCTAGATTGAGCCTCCAAATCATTTCTTCTTATCCCCGACATGGTTCTTTCAACTCACTAATCCTTTTTTTTTATTTACTCTGATACCATAAAAGAGACTAGTAGGAAAAAAGCCTTATGTTTATACTGTATTAATTTGATAATCTTCACACTTGAAAAGAGAATAATGTACAGTGACATTATATTGCTGAGTAAGAGAAATATGCAGAGAATAATGTACGGTGACATTATATTGCTGAGTAAGAGAAATATGCATACTCTAATTAATGGAATTCTACTTCCTAATTTAATCATTCTAAATATTAAAGATTTATAAGATACTATAAAATATTTTTACATCCGAAAATTACAACAAATCATCTTAAATGTAGAATAAATAATTAATCCTAAAATTACAACAAATCATCTTAAATGTAGAATAAATAATTAATCCTGAAGTTACAACCAATCATCTTAAATATAGAATAAATAATTAATTGACTTTTCTTCATTTATCTCTTTTGCCTCTATCTATTCATTCTTTTATTCTCTTTCCTATATTTTCCCTCTATTTGATTTTGTGGGATATACCATTACTTATCCTACACCACCTCTTTTTATCTTTTGTTCTGATTTGATGGAGTTCATGTAAAGGATTTTACATTCTAAACCTTTCAAGATAGATACGGTTTTTTGTCTAACTGTGATGAATTTTTGTGATGTGAGTTTTCCTTTTATTTTTAAGATCTACTGGTCAGAAATATCATCAAGCTGATGCTCATGATGCCATTTAATATATGGCTTGGCTCACTCTTGTCATACTCATCTATTGTGGAAAAAAGCTCCAAAAATTGGGTATGTGGGCCTTTTTATTGTATGGGGAGTTGGTTCATTTTTATAATCTACATTTCCCTAATCCATGATGATTAGGGTCCCTGGAGATCTTTTGAGATTGTTAGATGAAGATGGTTCATTTTTATATCATACACTATGCACATTATAGTGATTAGGTTTGAGGAAGTTTGTTTATGGAGAGAAAGTACAAAAGAGGCAGGTAGGTTAATGTGCTAGTTTGAAGGATTGGGGAGTCAATGCTAAGAGTTGAGGTTGCTCATATGCCCAAACTCATTAGTACTATAACATTTCCTTGCCTTTGGTTTCCGATATAGGTTTTTATTGCACTTCCAAAAACTCAAGTCAGCTACTTGTTTCTCCTTTATACTTCATGAAATTCCATAATTTCCAAAAGTTTATCCTAACTTGATAGTGAGGAAAGTTTGCTTCAAGCACTAAAGTAAATCCAACTTGTAGAGTATAAAGCCTTTATTGCTTGTTTTGGAAGGTGGAGGTTCCCTCTAAATTTGGAACATTCTGTTGATTTTTTCCTAAACTGGATTAACACCGATCATTTACTACAGGCACGTAACGTAATTGAGGTTTACTTGATGTTGTTTGATTTTCTGCTAAAGTACTGCACCTAATACTCATTTGCTTCTTCATTCTGAGGTGACTTGGAAGCTCTGGACCATACTCTAATTTATTGGTGTATTTTGGGTCTCTCTCCTAATCCCCGAAATTTTTATTTCTACAACCTTTGGATAGGTTGGTATTTTTTGCTTCGCTATGGGTTGAGTCTCAATGTTGCTTTTCAGTGTTTTGTTTGTTTACTTAGCAAATGGATTGTTCTGCTCTCTTGTATTAAAAGATTTTCTTTCTACTATTGTTTTTTCTTTTTCTAAAAAGAAGAAGAAAAACATGAGGAGTGCATGCGTACTCAAAGGAAGAAATTTCATTTTTTCATACTGATTTCTGAAACTAGTAGGATATCTTTTGAACATTACCGAAGAGAAATTGAAAGGAAACAAGTAGAACTGAAAACAAACAAGTAGAAGATTATTAGATGCTTCTTCAAAATCAACCTTTTTATACCAAGTGGATGGATATATATAATAAAGTTTTTATGTCCCCTACATCATGGTGATGTCCATTGAAAACATCAAAAGGACTGTTGACCTTAAGAGAATTACATATGTGGAGCAGATTGACTCTGCAATGTGAAGCCTTCTGATATATCATGGTGATGTCCATTGAAAACATCAAAAGGACTGTTGACCTTAAGAGAATTACATATGTGGAGCAGATATGTGAAGCCTTCTGATTATTTGCTGAATCGTCCTAGTTTATGGATAGCTGATAAAGCCTCATATAGATTAAAGAGAAACGATTCCTAAGTAATGGGTGAAAGTACTTTTCTTCTAATCATGGGGCAGGGAGCATGCATCTAGATTATTTTAACATGAAACCATGTGTATCCTCAAAAAGGAATCTGGTTGCCCGGGTTTCTTGGAGCTATTAAAAATTTTTGTTAGCTAACCTTGTCCAAAAACTCCATAGAGATGCTAGTGAGAGTCATAAAAAATATTTGCAACCAAATTTGCAAAACTTGATCTATGGACATTGGTGATGGTAATTACTTAGCTTGCATGAAGGCTGCTGGATTCTGGGCTTTAACTTGATATGACATCAATTTTCTTGCTGTGGTGCAACCCTTGCAAATTTGAAAAATTTGTTAGTAAGTTCAAAGTTGATTTTTAGACTTGTTTGCATGATAAACTGATTGCCAGGTTATCGATAGCATTTATTTCTTTAATGTTCTTGTTCTTGGCTTATTGCACTGATATTATTCTTGCTATTTACTGCAAAAGGCAAAAAGAAAGAAAAAATTAATAGAGACAATGTTTTTGCTTGCTTCTTCATGCTTCCAGTTCTGTTCATTATCTGTTCCCGAGATTAGCTGTTATCTTCATCGTCTTGAAGGTGTACTTGAAAAGTAAGAACTGAAAGCCTGTGAGGCATTGTTTAACATTGGGAAAACTGAGTGCCACAAGTTACCAAACCATTAAATTCATCCATATTTGTAACACATTGTGAAATTTCTGACTTTTTTCATGGAGCACGAGTAAGATTTAGGTTGAATGATTCATAACAAATTGGGGGGGAACCCTAGAAGCATAGTTAAGTCATGCTAACTTTGACATAAATGTATTGATTTATGCTTTAAAGAGTTTTAATTTTTTGTTTCATATGCTGTCTTGCTTGTGGGGAGAGATTGACCTTTTATGTTGTACAGCAAACTAACAGGCTTAGAAGGTTTTCACCTTGCTAACATGGTACTTTTAAATATATATTTTTTTTTGTACTTCTATAACTTCTCTATAAGGAGCTACTATTACATACACTGTTGTGAGGATGGGATATGAATTTTCCCTCTATATAGTGCTTTATTACATGGAGGGAACAAGCAAAACATTTTGGATGATAAAATGGTCATTACCCCAAATTTGTCATTTCTGTATCTCCTTACAGATGTTTCTTTGTATTTCATATAAATGATTAGGGGTTCCCTGGGATTCTGAGTTTATTTTTCTCTCTTTATATTATCATCTGTGTTCTTTTATTTTATACCGTTTCAAATATTAGGGTAAATTTAATTAGAACTATGGCAAATCCTGAGTCCTTGTGCACCCAATTGGATGTAGAAAATATTGCTTTAGATGTTATTCTTGGTGAATGGATAATTAACTATGTCCTTAAAATAGTTTCATTGTTGTTATGCTCTTTTAAACAGGTAATTTCTTTTTATCAGTTTGAGTAACTTGTATGTGGCATATGTTATTGTACTATATTTTTTATTGAAAAAGAAGATTATTGATAGAGAAAGAGAGTACAAATCTTTTATACATTTACGATTTCACTTTTAAGCTTTTCTCAAATGTCTAACTTTTTTTTTTTTATAGTTTTAAACATCTCATAATGAGGTCTTCTCCCTAATTAAAATGTCTGATTGTGAATATGTCCATGTTCAATTCTTCAATTCTTCACGGTCTTCCTTGTAATAAAATGTTTTTGTTTCATTCTTCCTGGCAATTGAATCTTTTATGCTATTTCTCAATGCTTTTGATAGGTGCTGATTTTAACAGTGTCTGATCACTGTTTAATTGTTTGATGTTTCTTGAAATGAAAACTTTTGATTATCACCTGCTTCTTCGTCTCTTTGTTCAACTGTGAACCTGTCCTTGCAGATTATATTAACTGCTTTGCAGGTTGTTTAAGTTTCGTATGCATCTAACAAATTTTTTATCCACAAAGTTTCTCTTTGCTATTTAGATATCTTATAAGCTTGTTGATCTATTCTTTTGATTTTCGTCCATTTGTATCCTTTCTTGTAATCTTGCAGCATTGGTGGTAAACTTTTGTTTTTGGTGTTTCAGCTTGAAGATAATGTGTGGGACGAATTTGGTGAGAGTGATGATCATATAGTCCCTCATCCTACTGATGAATATAGGCATCAATATGCAGTTCAGCCAGATAGCCGGAAAAAACGACGACATGATATGATTGATATTACAAGCAATGCAGATAATAGTAAGTATATTATTCAGGGAAAGGAAGAAAAAAGATTTCCATCTACGATCAAGGAGGATACAATGTTAGAAAAGGAGTCTTGGGCTCACACACCTGATAGTATGTTTCCTGTTCCATGTGATGGTGATTCAGTTAAAGACATGAAGAGTATATCATCTGAGGACTCAAGGATGTCCAATAATGGCTTTAAGAGTGGCAATATGGATTCCATTGGGACAGAATTTTGCACTGATAATCCTATTTTAGGAGGTGGATCTACTGCAACAGGTAGCGACTTGTTTCCCTATCCACTTAATCATATCTCCCAAACAGAGAGCGACCTCAGCTTTTTTGATAATGGTCGTGAAGACAAAGAAAGCAGCGATCTCTTTTATGGCTGGCCTGATATCGAAAATTTTGAGGATGTTGACAGGATGTTCAGGTAATGTGTGATGAGAAGTTTGTTTAATATTTTCTCCATATTCTAGTTTGGGGGGGGGGGGGAGAAGGGGGTTAAGTAAGAGAAAAAACCTTTAAATTGCATTCACTATGCACCAACGCTACTGGCTTCACAGGAAATATCTACATAAAATTCCAGGACAAGGGGGGGTCTGAAAGCAATCATTTCTTTTTTTAAGAGGATGAGAGTGAGGTTCATCTTATGGTCCTTTGGAACTTCTACACCTCCCACTAACAAATTTCTTTAAAAATTGATACCCCGACCAGCCAGCTAAAGTAAGAAACCTAGTGCATTCTCTCATATTAGTTAAGAGACTGGACACCGCAGAAGCAGATGCAGTGGGGACCCTTTCATTCTATTAGAATTTACAGTTTTTGTTTTCAGTATTTTTTGAATTTTTATCTTACAGTTATATATTCTGCATAAATAACTTTTTCTGATCTGCAGGAGCTGTGATTCAACTTTTGGGTTGGGAAGCCTTAGCAATGAAGAGAATTTGTGCTGGTTTCCATCTTCACATACTGCTGAAGATTCTGAAGATGCATTAACATCTAATTCAAAATTGACTAGCATATCAGAACATCAAGAACCTGCTAGGCCAAACAATCAGGGGTCTTCAACTGATGATTCTTGCAAAAGAAATGCAATTATGAAGGACAAAATGACTGGGGATGTTGCTCTTGACTATTTATCATCTATGAATATGGCGAATGCAAAATCTGTAGACAAGAATGAGTTAATTCTCATTGAGCAGGTTAGCTAAGTATCATTTTAGTATGTATCTTATTTAGGTTCTGAATGCTAGTTCTCTTCATTTTAACTTTTGGAATCAGGAGATATTCACACTTAACTCTTCCAGGTAACAATAGATGCATGAGTTTAGAATTTAACATACTTTCTACCATTGCTAAACTACATGTATGCCATTTTTTGTTGCTTGTAGTAAAGGTAGTAATTGATATCCAGTATGCAGGGACTTTGCATTCTGATCCTGTGATATATGAAAACTAAGTTGATTTTTATATCCTTGGAGCTGCAATGCACAACCTTAGTTTTCTGAATTTTTGGCTTGCCATAAAGTAGTTTGTGAAACTTAAATGCATACCTTATCTGCACTGTTTCCCCACTTTAATACTTACAATTTAACACAGATCAGCAGTCATTCATCAATTTTAGTGTACTATTACCTCCTTTTCTTATTTTTTTTATTAATTGTATCTTTGTGTTACACATCAATCTGCATGTGGAGCAGCCAAAGTATATGAATCAATCAGAGGGAAAAAGAAAGGGACGACCCCTGGAAAATGGTGGTTCTTTCAATCACACTGATAATTTGAAGCAAAAAGCTGATGTAAAGAATTTGTTTGGAGATTCATCTTGTCAAGCTTTTTCTTCACCAGCCTTTCAGCTACTCAAAGAGAATGCAGGTCCGGACTCCTTAAATTACATGCATATGCATGTTCCGTATCCCCATTTGAACTATGGTCATTCTTCAGAACAAATGCCAATCAGCCCCATCATAACTGGAAAATCAGGGGAAAACGTTTACCCATCTTCTTCACCAAATGAGTCTTCCTATGCATCAAATCAAGCACAGGCGACAGACAGCATTCCTGGTCCTGTTGTTGAGGCTAATGCTACACCGGCAAGTGAAAAGGGAAGAAAGGCGCATAAGTGCCAAGATTTACAAGTTTCATTCGTTAGAAATATCAACCATCCAAATATGCAAAAGATGGTGGGATTTTCTGATCCAGTGTCTATCCAGAAGCAAGTCAATCTGTCTGAAACAGAGGTTGATGGTCGGAACGAAGTTGACGGAGATGGTTTGGGTATGGATGCAGAATTAGAATCATCATATACACAGGGGGGCTCTTGTGTGAGCTCTGTGTTGGATGAAATCTCACTAGAAGCAACTAGTTTTCGCCAGCTACAACACGTCATGGAACAGGTATGTCGTTTAGAATAATTTTACCACTGATGTTGATTTTTTATTACCTATTTAAATGTTCCATAGTGGGTATTTGCTTAAAAATAAGACTTGGACGTGATTGATAAGGCATGGACTGGAGATGTTATGAGCTGGAGTCATATTCACTCAAGTCCTTAGGAATGGATGCGTACTGAATCTGTTTAAGTCTCTTTTGTGTCTGGTGTTCAATACAATTTTATTTTGTAACATGCTAGATGATGCCAATTCACTGGCACATAATCCATGAAAACAGAGTGCTTTGACCACTCAGAGGATGGGACCATGTTAGAGTGCTTTGGTCCTTTCAATGATGAGATTGTAATTCCAACTAGTTGGTACTAAAACAGCATGAAATAGTACCATAATTTATTTCTCCAACTAATAGTTTTTTATGTCATACCCATCGGATAGAAGGGTGAAGAAAAAAGCCACATTGACTGTATCAACGTGAAATAGTACGACAATTTATTTCTTAAAGTGGCATTTTTTTTATGTTATACCCATGGGATAGAAGGGTGAAGAAAAAGGCCATATTAACTGGTCCATTTCAAAAAATTAGGCTGTCTTTTATATGAAAATATTAGTGAATTTTTATTTCTTATACAGATAGGTTTATGCATAAAAACATGCAGGTTCCTATGTATATATGCTGTGCCTAAATATATAAATAAATTTTCAAGAAAACCATTGATTTTTTTAAGTGTGATATATGCAATACGTAAATATATATAAAAATAAGTTTTCAAAAAAACCATGATATTTTTTTTTTATTATTATTTAAAACTCATGCGATACTTTTACCCTTATTTTTAGACACTGATTTCATTTCAATTGTAACACCTATTCTAGGGATTAATTTGGAGTATATTGTATTAGTAGGCTTCCTGGATTGTTTCAGGTATGGGGTCTTGTCTGGGCCTATCGCCTACTTAGGTGTTCCTTTAGGAGAATCCCTCAGGCTGCACCTTTTGGGATCTTATGGTGATTAGTGATTAAAATTATCATGAGGCTTGCTTTCTAGAAAGGTAAGTCGTTCTTTCTGGGTGGTAGGATGACTATTATCTAGGCTTATTTATCTAGCATTTCTCTCTATTAGGTTTTTTTTTTTTATTGGTTTAGGATGACCAACAGAGTGGCTTGTATTACCGAGAGGATCATAAAGAATTTCTTATGGTCTGTGGTTAGCAAGTCTCGAGGGACCATTTGTTTAGATGGGAGGTTTGTTGTCTCTCTAGAGAAGATGAGAGTTTCCTTATCGACAATCTTATTTACCAAAATATTTTTTATTGACTAAATGGTTATGGAAATTTCTTTGGAGCCTAATTCTTTGTGGCATAAAATATCAAGAGTCGATATGGTTTGCACAGGAATGGTTGGAATTCCATAGCTAGAGTTACTCACAAAAACCATCAGAAATCCATTTCTCAGCTTCTTGCTCTTTTCATTTCAGTTAGCTGGTTGGAGGTGTGCACTAGTATCCATGTGTTGTTTTAGAAAGACCTTTGAATTAGTTGTCTTCCTCTTGCAAGCTGCTTTCCTTGCTTTCATCAGTTTTCATGGTGTCACCAGCCTCTCATTTGTCATTTCATTAACCACATTAATGGTCAGATATCCTGGACATTCTCCTTATTCAAGAATCTTAATGACCATGAAACCTACAGATCAATTATTTACTTAACGTTATTGAGCCGTTTAACCCCTCTATCAACCTGATAATAGAACCTGGACTTGGAACTCCTAAAGTGGGTACAATTGTAGGTCCTTCTTTATCTATCTCAAGCACAATCTTAGTTTTCACAATGAGGTTTTTAGTAACATCTTTTGGAAGGTCAAAATTCTCATGAGATTAAGATTCTTAACACTCTTATGTTGTAAGCGCGTCCACCGGATGTTTGTGTTATGTGTTATAGAGAGGCAAAACCTCAAGGACATTTCGCTTTGCACGGTAAGGTGGTTTGTGGGATTTGGTCAAGATATTTGCTACTTTTGGTGTGATCCCTTTGTCTCTTAAGGGTTTCTTTCTATGAGTTTGAAGGGAGGTGGTGAGGAAAAAGAACCTAAGTTGCTCTAGGTAGGTGCTTTTTTCGTTGATTTGTGCGTTTACTGGTTGGAATGCATTGTACTTTCTAGATATTATTGTCTTCTTTAGTCTTCTTCTGGGATAAATTTCTTTTATTTCTTTCGTGGGAGCATTATTGGATTCTGTATATCTTTGTTTCTTTTTGCCCTTTTTGGTTTCTTTCTCGTTTTTGTGGAGAATTATGTATCTTATACTTGTAATCTTTTGCCGTTTTCTATCTAATCTTTCTTTTTTTAATCAATGTGTATATATATAACCTAAAATCAATAATAAGCGCCTCTACTATTTGGAAATATATAATAAATTTTTATACAAAAATTTACTTTTGATTAAGTTTTCACTTAATTTTAGTTCTAATTGACTCAAATTTGTACTAAAATTAGAATTAGTTTTAATATAAGATATAACGATTTAACAGCCATTATATCTTGTACAGTTAGCTTGCTGAGATTGCATTTACGGTACATATTGCATCCACGTATTAACTATCTAGTGGATAAATACTTAGATATATATAATTAATGTTAGTATGAATGTGATGATAAACAAAATTTAATATTTAAAAATTATTTTAGAAAATCCTAATTGTAGAAATATTGTTTATTTCTTGTGTGTATTTTGGATACAAAATGAGGGTAGATATATGGGTTGAATTCTTAAATTGTAGTCGCATATTATGTAGTCAATATCTTTAGGTACTAAAGAAGGAAACAACAACTAATTAAGAGATATTCTCTCTTCTTTAAAATCAGAAACCGATTCTATCTGAATCCCACTAATCTTGACATTGAATCGTAATCCCATATTTCCACACTCGTCCTCAAGTTGGATGGTAGATGCCTAGCATTCTCAACTTGCTCTTTATATTTTCGCAATTTGTTTTACGAAGTGCCTTTGTCAAAATATCTGCCGTTTAGCGGCTAGATGAAGTGTACATGAGTCTGATTGTTCCTCTTCCAATCTTCTCTTTGATGGAGTGACGTTTTATCTTCACGTGTTTAGTTCGATCATGTTGAATATGATTCTTTGCAATACTTATGACAACCTTATTATCGCATAAAACTATTATCGTGGGATTTAATGTAATTCCAAGTTCTGAGTATTCTTTGGAGTCATATTCCTTCACATATTTCATGAGCTATTGTTCTGAATTTTGCCTCTGCATTAGTTCTTGCCATTACGGATTGCTTTTTGCTTCTCAAAGTTACCAAGTTCCCCCACACATAGGAATATAATACCCCATAGTTGATCTTCAATCAGTTAAGGTTCTTGTCCAATCCGCATCAGTGAAGAACTCAACTTCCCTACTTGAGGTTTTCTTTTAGTTAAACCCTCTACCCAGGCTTTTCTTGAGATATTGTAGAATTCTGTATATAGCTTTCATGTGTCGCTCAGTTAGATTGTTCATATAGTAGCTTATCATGCTAATAGAAAACCAATGTCGGGTCTTGTGTGAGTTAAGTAGATCACTTTT